TATCAAGCAGCACGACCAATGTTCTCATGATCTCGAGATGTATCATTGGTTGATGAAGGATGATACTGCCACATTGGGACAAAACTGTAGCCAGGAAACATTGCTATCTTGTTCACTCCAGACTGATATACTGGTGGATGAGCTGGCACAAACCCAGAAGGCGAAACAGTAGTAGCTTTCAGCTGCTGCTCAATCCTTTCTTTATCCGACTTAAGCACAAGTTTCTCTTCACGAAGTTCATTCTTCTCTACCTGTTTAAAATAGAAAAATATATGAGATTGAAGGTGTAGAAAGGATCTATGCACAATGTACAGTCAAATGTTGATTCGGTAGTATTAAATATGTTATCATAGAGCTAAGGGAGAAAGAACGGGAGCAGGGGGAGGTTACTGTTTGAAGATCAAAAACATGAAAAGGGTTTTACCAAAAATCTCAAATGCAAAATATAATATTCTATTTTCCTGAAGGAGCATTTCTTTCTACTACATATTTTTCTATGGTGACGAATGGAAGGTTCTTTCTTTCATTATTAACGTTCATAAAAAAAACTTTTGCCATTTTGAAAGGAATCATCATGAGAAACAAATGTTAACATAAAAGAGAACTTTTAAAGTTTAAACAAACAAAACAAAAGTTTATAAGTATTCTTCTTGGCTACGAATAAAAACTTAGTATATGCTTCAAATGCCACCAATTACTATCGGCATAACATGGAAAAATGCATTCACAGTTGAAAAATATAGAAACTTTATAAGTATTTTTTTAAAAGAACTAAATAAAACTCTAAAATGAATGCCACTCCACTTGTGTAAAATAGGAATTGGTAAATTCAACTTCCAAGAAAATTTCCTATGGAAGCAAAGCACTGTACAGTCATCCTTTTATACAGCTGAATCAGATATCACTAAAAAGATATTTAAAGCAAAAATAGAATGATCGTCACAAACCAGAAAACAACTAGATCTATCGACAATGCTGTGGGGGTATATAATTCCAGAGCTTCCAGCATAACAAAATTAAAAGAGAAATATCGATTTCCATGAATGTTGCATAAGCATTTGGTCTAACCTTCAACGTTTTGATCTCTTCCAAAAGCTTTTCGTTCACCTCTTTGCATTCCTGAGATTCAGACTTCAGCTCATTTAGAACTCTGATGGCATCACCAATTATAGCCAATTTGTCAGTTTTTACAGGTCTATTTGGTTCCAACAAAGAGCACAATTCTGAGAACCTGGAAGAACAGATATGATTCTTAGAACTATGTGTTATGCTACTAACCCCAATCCTAAACATAAATTTGACACTTGAGCGAAACGTTGCATATTCCTTGGCTACCCACAAGGACAAAAAGGATATAAAGTTCTTGACCTTGACACTCATCGCATATTTTCCTCACAGAGATGTCCTTTTTCATGAGAACACATTTCCTTTTACTAATAAACTCACCGCAAACCAAGACGATGAACCCGTGCTTCCTAACTCCCTACTTTCACACCCATTTATGGAACCAAACCCA